CTCCATAGCTCATCTTTAGACCCTTCGTTTTATTATTCGAATATTGGCCTGGGAAGATCATATTAAATAAGATCATCCGTCATAAGAATTATTCTCACTGTTTTCAGTTGTTTAGTGTAAATTTTCATGTCCTCACAGGCAGATAATATGGGATTCTGGGTTATAGAAGGAATTATTTGTGTTTTCCGAATCACTCATCGGAAAATTTGATTCTATCGGTATTTTGGAGAATGTGTATTATTATTTAAGGTTGGACACCGAAACAGTTTAAATCAAGTCGTAATGAGCGAGGTGAGCATTTCGAACAAAATATCGAGGATTATATGGACGAAGAGGACGTTGGTGAATATGGAATAGCAGCACGGCGTATGCGTACAACGTTGGATGATAATTTCTTGAAAAAAGGTGATAATCAGAAATTAGCATGGGAGCGATCCGGACAGTCCAGTCTGGATGCGTCGTTGTCATCAAAAATCGAGTCGTTGATTCGTCCTGTTAGGTTGGTTATTAATGTTGTCATTATTAGTTTCGATTGCCAGTGTTTCATCGTTCTTTAACAAAATTAGAAGGTGTTTATTTTTAGTGAATCGGTGGGAATTCGTTTATTGAAGAAAATGGGATGGCGTGAAGGTCAAGGCATCGGTCCGAAAATGTCACGTAGAACAATGGAGAAACATAAACGTGGGTCACCTATAGCTTTTTGTAATTTTTCAAAGCGTTTTTTTCACCTTCCACTTCCAAAGGGGCCACTTTCGAAAAAGACTTTCCTGCCTTCGATATCGAAAAATCTTTAGCAGTAGGATTCGGCGCACAACCAAAATCGTTACATGAATATTTCAGAAAATGAACTTCGATCGCGTGGACGTCACGAAAAATTTAACGCTGAAGCGGTGAAGGAGGCCGAAGAAATGGCACCTGGTTTCGAGTTTGCTCCGGAGGATGTTTTGGCACATTACCTTCATTCTCGGAGCGGCACGCGTGGGTTGGGCTATGAAGGCCTACGGAAGACTGAAGTGCTATCCGAGCAATACGGCATAAAAGAGGCAACATTGAAAACGAAACGTAAAAGTAAAGGAATTCGTGGTCAGGTAAAGTGTGTTCTGATTTTCGAATTTATCCTATCTACTAGCAAATGTGCTTTCAAAATCAAACAATTTACCTTTGCGGATTAATTTGCACATTCTTCGTGGCAATTTTTCTTCTATTTGAGAAAATTCGAAAATTGATTGGAGCGACTGTTGTCGGAAAAATGCACACAATGGTGTAAATTTTTAAATTTGAAGGCTTTCGGTGTTGGAGCGTTTGAGGACGAAGATGAAAGTATCTATACGAGTTTT